GGCAGCCCGGCCCCACCAAGCCCGGCCCTCACAGGTGAGCACCGATGCTCACGAGCTGTGCATCCTAGGACTTATGTGTGACCTCTCTGGGCTCTGTGGGTCACAGGGCTAGAGTATCAGCACTGAGGGTCAGGAGATGGCGCCCCCTACAGGTTCATAAAATCAGACACCGAGTTTGGGTTACAGATGGGGCAGTCTGGTAACCACTAGACAGAGTTCCCTGGGGCTATGCATTTGTGGCCACGGGGGGGGGGGCACTGCCAAGGGAGTGTCTGGTGAGTGGGCTGTGAGTGGGCTGTGTTTCTGCCTGAGGCACACTTTGGAGAGGGAGTCTCTTGATTAGAGCAGCGGTTCTCAACCTATGGGTTGTGACTCCTCAGAGTCGACTAAGACCGTTGGAAAACACCAGATATTAACATTATAATTCATAATAAAAGCAAAACGTTATGAAGTAGCAACAAAATAATGGAGCCAGCCCTGGTAGCGGTGCACGCCTTTAACCCCTGCACTCTGAGGTAGAGGCAGGCAGACCTCTGAGTTCCAGGACACAGAGAAAGCTTGTCTCCAAACAACAATAATTTATGGTTGAGGTCACCTGGTGAGGAACCGTATTAAACGGTTGCAACATCAGGAAAATTGAGATCCATTGCACTAGTGGGTCCCTTAGGCTCCCTGCTGCCCACTGGTTTCCTTTCTCCATCCCTCCCACCCACTCCCTGAGCCTCAGTTTTCCTCCGATAATGACGGAAAGTCAGGTTCAGTCTCCCGGGACAGCTGATGCTGGGCCCAGGGGACGCCCTGCCTCAAGATGCCCTAGGGATACACATGACTCAGACACAAACAGTCCCTGTCCCTGGGGGAGATTCGGGGTGCAACAGACACTAAGACAGTGAAAGCTCTAGAAGAGAGGTGACCAGACAAGATGAGGGACATCCCAGCTACACAGGAATCCCCTAGGAGGCGCAGGATCCAGACGGGCCGGTCTGGGAAGTACAGAATGAAACCTGAAGGGTGAGGAACCCCACCTATCAGGGAGGGGGGGAATGCTGTGGACTGGGGGTGGGGGTGGGGGCCGCATCTGGGCAATCTGGGAGATTGCTGGAGTGCTGGGGATGTGGGGGTGAAGAGCTGCCAGCAGTGATGGGGGCAGCTGTTGGTTGCCTAGGTACAATTTGTATAGACTTACAGTGGGGAGCAGGTTCCCAGCTACAACACCAGGCCTATGATCCCAGAACATGCAGGTGTAAGCACATCTCTGTCGTCCTAGCTACCCCAGGAAGCTGAGGCAGGGGAATCATGCATTCAAGGCCAGCCTGTTCTACACAGTGAGACCCTGCCTCAAAAAAATAAACCATCAGGCAGGGAGCTGGTGGCGAATGCCTTTAATGCCAGCACTCAGGAGGCAGAGGCAGGCGGATCTCTGTGAGTTCGAGGCCAGCCTGGTCTCCAGAGCGAGTGCCAGGATAGGCTCCAAAGCTACACAGAGAAACCCTGTCTCGAAAAACCAAAACAAAACAAAACAAAAAAGTAAAAATATATAAATAAATAAACCATCAGAAAGGTTATCAGGTTGACATGTGTCACCACACTTAGCAGCCTCAAGGCCAGACCACAGACATCCACCAGCCTCCAAGTCCTGAGTGCTGGGATTAAAGGTGTGTGCCACACCAGGCCAGATCTATTTTTAAATGGCTGGATGCTCATATACAAGAGGCCGAGAGAAGACATCACATCAGCCCCTGTGGGGTCAGTCAGTGAACATGGATTAAGCACACATATGTGGGGTCCTGGTTGGGCCTCAAGGGAGCAGGTAGAACAGGGGGGGGCAGAGGAGACTGTAGGGGCAGCCAGGGCTTCCTCACTACAGGTGGAGGCCACAGCGGTGGTGTCCCTCATCCCAGGTGACCAGCTATGAATGGGGCGAGTAAGGCTGGATTCCTAAAAACCCAGAGTGGAGAGTTCAGATGGACATGAATGGAGAGAGAGAGATAATCCCAGCCTTCGTTTTTATTCCAAGACAAAGTCTTGCTGTGGAACCTATGCCAGGCTGGGTTGTAGTCTGTCTGCTTCAGGCTCCCAGGCATGGGATTGCTCTTCTAGGCAGACCCCTGCCCCCCAGGAGCACTGTGGGAGGGGGATTGTGATTTCAGGCTCTCTCTTCCCAACCCCACAGCCCCACCAGCATGGATGACGTTCACCTTGGGGAAGACCTAGAGGATAAAGACACAGGTGTGGTCCCATGTCACCAGTAAGGCCGGGTGGAGAGGGAAACTCGGGTGAAGGGCTGCCAGGGCTGGGGCTCTGTCCTCAGTCTATCAGGTGACATGGAGTTCCTGGGGCCCTGCTCCCTGATGGAAATGGCTTGTGGGTAAGAGTCCACCTGTCACTGCACCGACAGCCTGCCTCCAGGTGAAGAGACTGCTTGGGTCCTCAGCGGCTCCCCTGTCTTGTCCTGCTGTTTACTAAGTTCCTGGCCTGAGATGGGCATCGCTGTACCTGGGGCCCCTGGGGGCCTATTAGCGCTCAGGCTCCAGGGCGACTTGCAGGAGGTTGTCCTTGGCGGAGCCCCAGCAGCACCTGCCGCCCTCCTCTCCCTTCCTGCAGCGTTCACCTGGGAGGTGAAGGCCAATAGCCGCGCCTACAACAAGCAGTTCAGGAAGAAGGGCTTCCTGTGGTGGCGACAGAAGAAGTATAAGGTGAGTCCCCACATCGCCTGGCCCACAGTGCGCCAGGACCCATCCTGAGAGTTCTCAGCTATTTTTTCAAGAGACCTCACTAGGTAAACTGGCTAGCGCTTTAACTCCTGAGCCTGCTGCTTCAGCTTCCCCAGTGCTAAGGAATTTATTGCATGATTAGGAATGGAACCAAGACCTTCTGAATGCTGGGGGGGGGGGGCATCCCTTGAGCCAGGCCTGATTACCTCGCTGGAGGCTTCTAGGCGGGGCTCCACCTTGGCCACGCCCCCAGCCCCTCACTGGGG